TTTATTTATTAGTTTGGAAGGTAGAAATCCGGAGGGGGTAGGGGAAGGACAAAGAAAGAGAGACAGGCCTTCCCACTGTTACTCTGCTTCCCAAATGACCACCATGGCTGCAGCTGGGCTAGCCAGTATCCAAGAGCTTGTTCCAGATCTCCCACATGAGGATGTAACCCAAACACTTTGGCCATCTTCCACTGCTCTCCCAGGTATATGAGGAGGGCTCTGAGTGTTAAGTGTAGCAACCAGGTCATGAATCAGTGCCTGTACGGTGTGTTGTCTCTGCAGGCGGGGACTTTACCTGAGATGCCACAGCACCACCAACCCCAAAACTGTTCTGTTGTTGTTTTGTTTTTTAAAACTGATTTGATGAAGTCACTCTGTAGTGCGGAGCAATTTTAGGCAGCAGAGCTTAAGCAGGAAAACCAAACCACATGGCTGTAGTTGCTGTTTGTACCTCTTGGTTCTAGATGTGGGCAACATGGTTAATAATGTCCAAAACCATGCAGATTGAAAGATTCGGCTGAATAACCCCGAAGGGGGACACTCTGTTAACCAATCACTGAGCTTTCTCTTGATCCAGACTGTGTTTGAATTTGGCCTTTCAACTATGTCATTTTCAGTTTATCCACTAGCCACCTGTTACCTACTATTATATACTTTTTCATAGTCATCCCATTAGATATCTTCCCTGATTTATCAAAATAATTACCCAGCACACATACTCAAGCTAACAAATGTCCTCTTTGCGATAGTTCTATCCTGCGAACTAAACAAAAAAGTGAGAAAATAGAGGCAGACTGTCTGGTGTAACAGGTTAAGCTTCCTTCTGCAGTGCTGCAATCGCATATGGAAACCAGTTCAAGTCCTGACTGCTTTACCTTTGATCTAGCTTCCTGCAAATGGCATGGGAAAGCAGTGGAGGATGACCCAAATGCTTGGGCTCCTACACCTGTATGGGAGACTTAGAGGAAGCTCCTGGATCCTGGCTGCAGATGGATACCACTCTGGCTCCCGTAGCCTTTTGAGGTGTGAACAGTGGGGTGAAGATCTGTTTCACTGCCTCTCCTCCTTCTGTAACTCTGCGTTGGAAAAAGACAGAAAGTAAAAAATAAGACCAACTTTTAATATGAAGGTTATCCCTGTCACCGAAATAAAGCTCTCACAGAGAATCCTGTATAGGTTCCTAGGGAGGTAAAAACACATACGGAAGCAAGAAAACAAAATAATAGAGAAATGAAATTGCGTATTTTTTAAATAGTTCAAATCCCTGAAACATTTTTTACTAATTCTGAGGCACTCATTTTCACTTCAGTGAAATAGAAATTCTTTTTTAAAACATTTTTTTGATGATGTTTACATAGCTGGTGAAGGTTGGAAGGGTCAAGGATTAAGGGAAAGTGAGTGAGACCATTGTTTCCAAATTTTCTTCTTATTCCTCTATCTGGGGAAAGTGGGGAGATAAGGGAAGAAGCCGCAGAAAACCTCCTGACTGTGCAGTACCCACACATGGGGGATGACCACTCAGTATCACCCCAGGGTTCCTGAAGTAGAGGATGCTCCACAGGTTCTGCTCAGGTGTCTTCAGTAGTTCTGAAATGCTGTTGATTAAATGAGGAAATCCTTCCAAGGGCCATTGGTTGACATAGTCCAACTTAGAATTTCCATTCACCTGGATATTTGTTATCAATGCTTGGCTGGGGTAGTTGTCCAATTTGTTCTACCCTTCATCCTCTGTTATGGTGCCAGATGTCTTCTCTAGGTGCCAATGCACTGCCATATCCTCCATGTGTATCTGGACATGCCATGCATTGCTCTATCTTAGTTACTAAAGAGACTCAGTTGTGACGCATACACTCCACAGTCAGACCACAGATCCTGACATCCTTCTCATGTTTGGAGTTCTGAGTCTAGCAGTTCAATTGGGGCATCCCCAAAGAAGCCTTGTCTGAGGTGATCCCAGACCTGACTCTTGTGTGTATTTGTGAGAACGGGGTCTGGTTCAGTCTATCAACCACATCTTCCTACACACACACACACACACACACACACACACACACACACACACACACACACACTCTGGTAGTTGAAGTCGCTGCATCATTTCTGTCTCCAGCCATACCTCTTATGTAAACCAATGGATGCTGTGGCCCAGCCCAGCTTGTCCAACTACATTTGGCCCAATGGGTGCTGAAGTCTAGCCCAGTCTGATGCACCCCATACCCAGTCCACACCCATGTTGAGGTACACTACATTCATGTCCAGCCCATATGTCCATCCACATTCTGGCTCTCACACTCACCAGTGGAAACCACAACTCAGCCTGGACATCCCCTTACCTCCCCAACCAGGCCTGTTTACAGCCATAGATATTACATAGATATTACATCTACCAGGAGTTGCTATGACTCAGCTTGGCATAGCCCATCCTCCTCTTGGCCTTTGACATTGGATATTGCAGCCTGGCCTTCTCCAATTACTAACTCTGTCTGGTGGAGTACTGCAGTGTAGCCCTGCCCAGTCATCTCCCATTCCTGACTTATGCAAACCAGTGTATGTGATAACCTAACTCCATATTATCTACACTCCAGCTTGGGTCCTTGATATGTCAGTGGGCTAAGTTTGGCCGGGCCCTGCCATGTCTTTTCCCTCCTCAAGAATTACCCTACACACTGGTTGAAGAGTAGAGCTGCATTTCCTGGCCTGAACAACACCCAGGACTGAACAACTTGCTCACCAGCAGAAGCTATGTCCCACCAGATGAATTTCTCAAGTTCCCCCACCAGGCCTACTCCCAGATCTCACATGTGCCAACAGATGTTAGACCCTTACCCAGCATAGTCTGTCCACTCCATCCTGGGCTTTGTATAAGCTGGTGAATGTTGCATTCCTACCTGCCCTACACCCTATTCTTGGGTGTGTCTGTGGGTGCTGCAGCCTGGACTAGCATGACTTGTTCCTAACTGTTCCTAACCACAGTACTCATGAGTGTTAGAGTTCCATGTTCATGCCTAACTCAACCTGTCTCTGCCCCCTGCTCTTAAGCAAACCAACAGGAATTGCAGTTCCACGTGGGTGGTCCCACATATACACCATAGAATCTTCCCCCAGACTTGATTCTCTCACATGCTGGTTAGTGTCATAATACTGCCCAGCCTAATATTGCCCATCCCTTGTTCTGACTCACTGGTGGGTACTGTGATCTAATCCTGTCAGGTAGTCCCCAAGCCCTAGCTTTAATGTGCACCAATGAGTAGTAGTCAGCAGCTGATGATGCTATCCACCCCAGCTCAGGTCTCCCAGGTGCACTGGTACATCAGTCTGACACTTAAAGGTCCTCCAGCTCCCCCTTCCAAATCGGTCTGTCTCAATCTCCTTGTTTACTTGCCAGTTCAGTGGCCTTGTCAATGAAAGGCCCTGAGTAGTCATCCCTTACCTGCAACATACTCCCTCAGCAGGCCTCCCTCCCACACATCCTCTTACCCCCTTCCCTGGACAATCTGCCCTCCATCTTCTGTTGTAGTATCTGATGTCATCTGCAGGCCCCAATGGACTGCCACATCCTCCATGTGCATCTTGGTATGGAATCCACTGTTCCATGTAGGTGAAACATACCAGGGTGCGCCTGGTCCTCTCTGGAGTTCAGGGGCCCAGATCCCAGAGTACAGGGGACTAAATGGTCCAGGCCACATCGGGCCCCCTCCAGGGCTTATGGGCTTAGCTCCTAATGCATACACAAACCGAACAACCCATGCCATGAACAACCCTTTCTGGGGTTCATGGGCTCAGCATGTGGGCCTAAATGACCCAGGCCATGCCTGGCCCCTTCTGCAGCTCGGGGAATTCTTAAGTGATAATCACATTCAAATACATTCAGTCACAAAATTATGGCCTTGTGTAATGCCCCATTATACTCACTCTGTTACAACCTTGTCAGTTTTCGTGTTGTTACTGTCCAAGTCAAGCATGCTTCCATCTCAGGTCATTGCCTTTCAGTTCCGCTTTAGGAATGTTTTCCCACTGCGATTTCCATGTTACTGACACCACATCTACTCTAGAGCGTCATTCACATGATACTTTCTTATTTACACTTTCCCTGGTCACTTTATCTAAAATTGAAATCTCCTTACATTCCCCAGCTACCTTTCTGATTCATTTTCAACATCCAGCATTTGTTACCAACTGATGATATCTTGTTTTTTTTCTGTTGTATGCGAGTAGTTTTATTTATTTGATTCGCAACTCAATCTCCAGGTCCTAGAAAAAATAGCCTGTAAAGGCAAGGCCTTCGTATATGCTGAACATGTGAATAGCATAAAGATACCATATATTAGTAGGTACACTCATGCGTAAACAGGCCACATGTGAAAGAATAAACACATGGATGGCATACTCAAAGGCTGGTGTGTTGTGGAAGAGTGTAAATGCCAGAGTAAGCCTAGCTAATGGAGCATAGAAGAGGTCATGAATCTTAAGATAAACTGCCTGTCTGTTAACTATGAAGGGTGAACTTCAGTAAGCTAACAACCTGAGTATCCAGGGTGGATTCCATGGTCAGTCTGGCTATTATAGAATGTTAACGAATTGAACTTTCTGGTAAGCAATTGAAAAATGGGAACCATGGAAAGTTGAAGTGAATGCAGTCATATCTTCTGACAGATATTATTACCAGAAATGATCATGGTAATGAGAACATTAGTACAGTAGCAGTTGGAGATAATCTGAGTTTGATTTCCTTTGTTTCTTCAATAGTGAAACTGAAACTCAAGGCTTAAGAGATTTAGCCAAGGTCAACTGCCAATCACTGGAAGACTTTAGAACTATAGTCTGTTACCCTGGCTGAATCCAGTGTTCTTTTTACCTTAACTAAAATGTATTCAGATTAAATGCTGATACCCTTTAAAAATGTTACTTAAGCTGTTTCGATGTAATATTCAGCTGAAATTTGATGAATCCTCCTAGTGGCAATATAGTGATAGTTTGTCTGTCTTTGTGACCTAATTCAGCTTACAGAAGAGATTGGAAAACTTGAAGATAAAGTGGAATGTGCAAATAATGCCCTGAAAGCAGATTGGGAAAGATGGAAACAAAATATGCAGAACGATATCAAGTCGGCATTTACAGATATGGCTGAGGAGAATATCCACTATTATGAACAGGTAATTAGAGATTTGACATTGCTTCATTATTAAAATATTACAGTCTCGTTTACTTTCCACGTTTCCTGTGGAGAAAGACTGCTAAAGACAAGAAGGTGCTTTGCACAGAGCTAAGGCACTGTGCGGGTTACCTGCATCCCATGTGGGAGTGCCCAAGTTCAGGTTCTGGCTCTGTGATCATGTCTCTCCACGCAGCATTTTCTAAGCGTGTGTTCTACAACGTGTGTTTTATTTATTATTTCTGAATTAATAAATATAAGATCCTTATTTTATAGTCCAGAAAGCTTACAGTTTAAAATATTGTATATTTTGAAAGACAAACTGATACTGATATTTCCATTCATTTGACAAGAGTGAATTGAGCACATACTATAATCTGACATTGCACAGTCCTTGGAGAGACCACAGCATTTAACAATCAACACAATCTAGTTCTCGTAAAGTTCCAAAGTTCCAAAGATGGAAACGGTCACTTAAATCCCAACATCATAATGGAAATGCTTTAAATTCCATTACAGAAGGCCACAGTGGCAGTACCTACTCTAATCTAGAAGGAATGAGGAGGATTCCTCAAGGACAGACTTTCACTGAGACCTGAATGATGATGAAAGGCCCCCAGGGAGATGCAAAAAACAGCTGAAAAAACATACATACAAAGGCGTGGAAGTGGGAATGCATCCCTAGGTAACTGGGCTCCTGTTTGAGGGAAGAGGAGTGGAGCTGATGTTAAATTAGAATATGAAATGAAGGATATTTTATGAGGTTACTCTTTTTCATTCATTCCAAGGGAAATAAGAGCTTGCGTATTTTTCAGCAGGGAAGTGATATGTTTGGATTTGCCTTGTAGAATATGGATCAGAGATAAGTAAAAGTGGACCTAATGAGACCAGGTAAAGCATGGCTGTTGCAACCGCAAAGACAGAAATCTGAACTGACATGTGGCTTTCTTAGAAGTGGGTTAGAGAGAGTGAAATGGTGCTAGCTATTTTGTTTTATTTTGGTGTGGAATTAAAGAGAACATTTTCTAATGCTGCTTAATTTTTTTCCTTATTACTTTGTATTAGCAAGTTTAAGAAGCTAGAGATTTTACCATAAATATTAGATTTGTGAATGATGCAGTATTTCAGTTTGATGAAAGATTTATTAATACAAGGCTTTCTTGCCATTTCACTGTTAAGCAAAAGCCCCTCTCCTTTGAAGCAAAATGCATTCATGTTTACATTACATAATTATGTCAGAAAGCTGAGAGATTTATTCAGTTGTGCCCAGAAAGTAGAAAATGCCACATACTATATATTAATCTCATTGTAATATGTAGGTATGGTTAGGTATAAAGATTTCATGACAAAGGCACATATATATTTTCCTTTGAATAAATTTAAATTGTTGTAAATTTAGCCTGAATTTTTTTTAAGAGGACATGCTTGTTACAACTCTGTAGAACAAAACAGTGCTTCTTCAAAAAATGGCTAAAGGAACAAAACTGTCATAAGGCAAATTGTGTTCTTCTTAGTAGTTTATATGAATATGTAATCTTCTTAACTCTTTCCTCCAACTGAGTTATATTTCCAAGAGTTACTAAAATGTCTCAATTGCACTAGATCTCGGATCTATAAATTTGAGGAATTGTTGGTTTTGTCTAATGGGATTTCAAAAGACACCTTCAATTTTAATATTTGTTAGTGCTTTCCCTTGAGAAAAATTTTTCAGTAATTTGGCATGAAAGTCCAGTCAAACAAGAGCAAATTTAAGAGGCTTTAAATATCAAAGATTTTTAAACAGCGGCAAGACTCGGAGGCTCAAACAGCAATCATCTGCTGCTTTCTGTTAACTTCTGAATATCCCAAGAATATAGGGAAATGAAATGTTACAGAATCTTTCCATTCATTTCTAATTGCATCGTAATGGAAATATCTATTTGCGTTGATAAGCTCCCACAGGGTTTCTTCTTACTATGAAAAATGAAGAGGGAATATGAATATTCACCTTTGGATTTACCTGTGTGGGGTGAACTTGTTTATATAAACATATACATATACAAATATATGTATACATAAAAACTTTCCATTAAGCCTTGAACAAAAGGTGCTATTCTAATCTTGTTTTATTTGACCAGTAATTCAGAATGAATTTATTATGTTGTTTCTCCCCTACTTTTATAATCCAAAGTTAGTATCAGCTGTGATCTGATAGTCAGCATTTTTTAAAAAGATTTATTTATTTTTTTATTGGAAAGTCAGATACACAATGAGGAGGAGAGACAGAGAGGAAGATCTTACACCCACTGATTCATTTCCCAGGTCGGTGCAAAGGCTGGAGCTGAGCCAATCCAAAGCCAGGAGCCTGGAGTTTCCGCCAGGTCTCCCACACTGTTTGGGCCATTCTGAGTTGCTTTCCCAGGCCACAAGCAGGGAGCTGGATGGGACGTGGGGCCACTGCGATTAGAACTGACACCCATATGGGGTTCCAGTGTGTGCAAGGTGAAGACTTTAACTACCAGGCTACCACGCCAGGCTCTGATAGTCACTACTTTTAAAAAGTAGTAACATGGAAGGGATAGATTTCATAGATTTCAAAGAGGATATTTCCAAGAGGATAACCATACCTCCTCCCTATTTCTTTCAAGTCTTTTTCCTTCCATTCTTTAGTTTTCTTTCATTTTAATAGCTTGTTTTCGATTTATTTAATAATCACAAGAACACTGCAACACTCATCATAATATTCAACAAGTAAGATATAGAAGCACCACAGTTATATCAGAATATAAATAAGGACTAAAAGCAGCAATCAAATCACACGATGTTTATTTTATTCCTACATGTTTTTGTATTATATATTAACTACCATATATCAGAGAAAAATATGATACTTGCCATGTGGGGCTAGCTTATTTTACTAAGCATAATGACTTCTAGTTGCATCCCTTTTGTTCAAAAGACAGGATTTCATTCTTTTTCATGACTGAGTAATGTTCCATAGTATATATGTACCACATTTTCTTTATGCAGTCGACAGTTTAAGGACATCTGAGATGATTACAAATCTTAGCTATTGTGAACTGAACTTCAAAACTGGGGGGTATGAGTGTCTCTAATAACTTTATTTCAGGTTATTTGGGTAAATGGTTGGGCCGTATGGCATTCTGTTTTCTGAGGAATCTCCATATTGTCTTCCATAATCGCTATACAAGCTCACAAGCCTTCAAATGGTGTATTGATATGTTTTTTTTACTCTGTCCTAGCCAGCATTTGTTATTACTATTATTTTAAATTTTTGTGTGGTAGCCATTGTAGATGGGTTAAATTTGAGTTGCGTTTATAAAACAATAACATTATGAGTAAAACCTCAAATCCAGTTGAAGAAGTATGCGTAGTTTTGAAGCACCATCTTTTATAAATTATTATTACTTTAAATGATTTATTTTCATTGGAAATGCAGATATACAGAGTAGGAGACACAGAGAGAAACATCTTCTGTCCACTGGTTCACTCCCCAAGCAGCCCCAAAGCTAGAAACAAGCCCTTCCAAGACCAGGAGTCAGGAGCCTCCTCTGAGTTTCCCATAAATTTGCAGGGTCACAAGGCTTTAGGCCATCCTCCACTGCTTTCCCAGGCCATAAGTAGGGAGATGGATGGGAAGTAGAGCAGCCAGAATACAAACTGGTGCCCATCTGAAATACTGGGGCATGCAAGTTAAGGACTTTAGCCACAACACTGTTGAACCCCAGCACTCCTCTTTTATTTTTGAAGATTTATTTGTTTTTATAAGAAAGGCAAATTTACAGAGAGAAGGAGAGACAGAGAGAAAGCTCTTGCATTCACTGGTTCACACCCCAAATAACCGCAACATCTGGAGCTGAGCCAAGAGTCAGGCGCTTCTTCCAGGTCTCCCAAGGGAGTGCGGGATCCCAAGGCTCCAGCCATCCTCCGCTGTTTTCCCATGCAACAAGCAGGGAGCTGGATGGGAAATGGAGCTGCCAGAATAGGAACCATTGCCAGTATGGGATCCCAGCATGCAAGGCAATGATTTAGCCACTAGATTATCACACTGGGTCCAGGCATGCATCATTTTACAACAGTGATACATTCTGAGAAATGTGTTGTTAGACAGTTTCATCTCTGTGGTAAGTCCTTGAAGCCTGCTTAACAACGGGAGGCAACTGTGATACAGTATGCAACACTACCAGATGGGCCCATAATGGTATCGGTGGTTGATTGGTGACCCCAATGTTGCCAACAGCAAATTATTCATTGTATACTGATATACAAATAACCAAATGAAAATTATTTTTGCTAATGTAAAGAGACACAGAAAAAGTAAAACATGACATATTGGATAAGACACAAGGGGAGTTTACAGTTATTCGTTTAAAGATACAACAGATAATCTGTGGCTGTTGCTCTTGTATTGTTGCTATTGATGCCAGTGGTGCTAAGGAGGAAGAAGGCTTGAGAGGAAGGATTCTTTTCTGGAAGACATTGGGTATGTTCTTATGAAAGTTTGATTGAATTCACTTACTTCTCCTATGTCCTCTTACAAATGGATTTTTAGTTCCTGTTTGTACTTTGAAGTATGAAACTACAGCCAACTGGGATGGCTTTAGAATAGCTTTGTACTTGGCAGGAACATTGGCTTTTGGAGAAATAAACGTGCATGCGCGCACACACACACACACACACACACACACACTGGAGAACCATCTACCCAGTTCATTGGAATCACCTGGGTTATGAAAGGGCTGACAGCCCTGGTCTCTCTTGTCTTCTTGCTAGAGGACCTTTGACTAGCCTAGTGTCTTTGTTGTCCTTGTGTCTTACATATCAAAGATTGCTTGAGAATGGAAAGGAAAAGGGGATCCTCAAGAAACATTTTGAAATAATGTTGAAAGGTGCATCTGTATTACACAACAGATTCTTGATACATGCTTGATGAATTAACATTTCTGAGTGCGTAAAGAACTCCATCCTCCCACATATGCCGTATATGACATCTCATTTAAC